GGACAGGTCTCCGGTCCATCCCAGGGACACCTGGACAGGTCTCCAGTTCATCCCAGGGACACCTGACAGGTGTCCGGTCCATCCCAGGGATTAGTTTGATGAATATTTTAAATCATGTCTCAGTTTTTTGAAGGTATCTCAGGAAAAAATAATCGTAGGAAGTTGTTGTCGTTGTACGGGAGGTACAAAGAAACTTAATTTGGTAGCAGTCTCTTAGCAGTGACACTTGTGAAGAATGTTCTTATAAACGTCTGTCCATCCATCCATCCATCCATCCATCTTTATAAAACATGAATATGAATACTCGTGTTTAGAATATTCATATTTCCTGTGAAAGTTTTGTCACCTCCATGGAGAAGAAGCTAAGCTTTAGCTGAGACCCCCCCCCCCCCCAACATAAGTAAATAAAAGCTTTGCAGAGAGTGGTGAAGGCTGCACAGAAGATGTTGGAGTCAGTCTCCCCACCATCACAGACATCTACACCTCCAGATGCAGGAAGAGGACCGCCTGCATCATGAAGGACCACACTCACCCAGCACACACACTTTTTGTCCCACTCCCCTCAGGAAGGAGGTTGAGGAGCATTAAGTGTAGAACCACTAGACTGAGGACCAGCTTCTACCCTGAGGCTGTTAGACTCATGAATCTGTTAAGATATTTATCTAGACTGGTTCTATGGTTTTGATCTGCTCAGAGACGGGATTATAATGAAATTATGACCCGGTTCTGACTGGGTTAAACTGGGCCAGCAACTCTAAAAAGAGTCTCCCTGTGATTTCAATATCAGTCGAGGAATAGAGTTTAATCTGCTACATCACATAGAAAGGCTTTTGAAGTACCGTCTCATATTTCCTAACACATCAGAACCACATAAGATCCACTGAGATCACACTTAGCCACGCCCCCTCATACACTGACAGGTTGAGCTCTTCTTCTGTGAAGGAGGAGTCCAGGACCCTATAAATGAGTAATGACACGGGACATAGGGGCTCTTCTTCTGGGTTTGTGAATGCGTCACAGACGGGAGAGTCCAGCGCTGTAACTGTAATCTTTTCCTGCCTTGATTTAATATAATTGATAAAAACTTAATTGATGTTTCCTTGATTTATTGATAACGAGAGTTACCACTTCTGAGGGAGATTCGAGCCGGGGGGGAGAGATGTGGGCTGGAGGGGGTTTCCAGGTCTGGTGGCCCGCAGCCAGCTCCCGTCTTTAACAAATCTCTAACCAGAATAATCACTGTAATGACACTTGATGTGCTGCTGATTATTTCATGCTGCTGATTATTTCATGCTGCTGTGTTTGTACTCATTCATTCAATCTTTACTTAGACAGGTTAATCCCATTGAGCCTCGGGAACTCATTTACAAGACAGACCTGATTTAACAAAGAGTGATGACAACAATGGACAATCATAAAAAGCAAACAAACAGAAGAACGAATGAAAGAAAATGGCATTTAAAAAATGAAACAAAAACAGCTACATTATAACGTGGTGTTAACTAAAAACAGGAACACGTCTGCGCTGGTTTGTCCTGGAACTGAACAGATGTTTGAAGCCACTTAGAGAGGTCAAAGGTCGAGAGCTTCAGATGTTTTTACAAGATATTCCAGGAAACAGGAGCGGAGTAGGAGAAGGACCTTTTGTCTAGTTCAGTCCTCACTGAGGGAACACTGCAGGTAATGATGTCCTGAGAGCGCACGCTGTAGCTGCACTCACACAGAGACATGTAGGAGGAGATGTATGAAGGCAGCAAACCAGGAAGTGATTTAAAGATGAAGATGTACCAGTGGGAGAGTCTGTGTGGAGTTAATGGTGACCAGTTAACCAGTGAATACTGGGTGCAGTGGTGGGTTCGGTAGTTACAGCCATTTATGAATCTTAGTGCTCCATGACCTTCCATGGTCTGCTCACACAGACTCATGTTCGTGCTGCTGCTGCTGCTGCTGATGTTGTTGTTGTTGTTGTTGTTGTTTTTCACTATTAGTGTTGAGCATATTTCTTAGTTTATATATTAGATCCTTATTTATTGTTTGTTTTTATACTTTATATTTTTGCTGCTGTTCGGTGTAACTGGGACCCTGAGGACACAATTTGGTTCCACCTCATGTATCACATGTGGTACTAATGACAGTAAAACCTACTTGAACTTAAATGGAACATCATTTAATTAAGTTTATAACGCAAACTTAAATAAACAACAAAATCTGTTTTGTTTTGTTTTCTTCCAACAACTCTTGTCTGTACCTGGTTTTGATGCACAGTTAGTTTTTGTCCCGTCTCAAAGTGAAGAGGTGAAATGGAAACGCCACGTGTTTGTCCGTGCACGTTGTGAGCACGATAACTTGAAAAATAAATGATCAACGTCCATATTGTGTGTGTCTGCATCTGAGAAAGGTTCCTGTCAAAGAGTGGGTTGTTACGTCAAAATCCAAGATGGCCACTGTCACGTACATGTTAACCAGCCCCCATCATTTGAGGAAACTGCCTTTAGATTTTAGATAAAGTTTAAGTTGCTTCAAGTGATTGGGGTGGCTCAAGATTAATCTGTGAGGTCAAGGCCCCCACTGCGCCCCCTCCTGGCTCCACCACTGCTCCTCCTGGTGGAGGATAACATGATTCCCTCCACTCACCAGGACCAACGTACCTGTTGTTCACTTTCAGAAACTTGGAGCAGAGGTGGGCGGTATGGTGGAGCAGTGGTTAGAGCGGCCTCACAGCTCTAACCACTGCTCCACCAGGCAGGAGGACGAGCCTCAGAGAGGTCATTCTTATTTTTTATTTACAAGCTCTTTGTTGAGGAAAATAAATGCAGTGTCAGGAAAATATCCTTTAAAAAAGTCTCAGAATCAGCCCAGACACCATCAAAAGTACAAAATCTCACGAAGTGGGTTTGAGTCCAGCTCGGCTCGTTGAGGTGTCCCCAACGTGACTTTAGTTGTGGACTGCTGTTTCAGATGGTTCCACGGACACCTGTCTGGCCGAGAGGCTGAGAAGCTGCTGACGGAGAAGGGAAAGAACGGCAGCTTCCTGGTGAGAGAGAGCCAGAGCCACCCGGGGGACTTCGTTCTGTCCGTTCGGACCGGGGACGACAAGACGGACAGCAGCGACAGCAAACCCAAGGTCACACATGTCATGATCCACTGCCAGGTGAGCTCCGACTCTGTCCATTCTGCACTTTCACGTTTTAAATATTTGAAACTGCTCGTCCTCACATCTTGAAGTAAAGATAAGGTTTTTGATCTGTGAAGGTTAAGAAACCGAGTCAATCTGCTTCCTTTATGTGTACACCAACAGTCCAACTCTTTCCACCTAGGCTGCGTCCTCATTAAGGATTTTACATGTTTTATCACACAATGAAGACAAATCACTCGTTCCCTGCAGAGTCAGTCAGAGTCAGAGTTTATTGTCATTCGCACCTCATGTGGTACATGTGGTGGAGCGAAATTATGTACACAAGGTCCCAGTTACATCCAACAATAAAATGTATAAGAAAAACAGTAATAACATCTAAGATATGAACTAAGAAAAACATCAACTAAATATACACTAAGCATTCATAAGCGTACTGCAGCGTACTGAATCAGACGTCCGTCTAAAGATATGTTGACTGGACTTTTACAGAAGTGTTCTTGTTCATCTAGATACCGAGCTGAAGATGGATGAAGTCATTATTTTCTGCTAAACGTGCATGTTCTACTTGAGCAAACTGTTATAGCAAGCTAGCTAAACACACATATGACTATAACTTCTGAGCCAAAACAGTTGATGAGATCAAATTGAGTGGACCAAATGTGACAAACATTGACCCGTTGGTGGCGCTTTGAACAAAACCAAGTTTCATGCAAAAATGTCCTGTCGGATCGTTAGGACATGTCCAGGACATTTTTAATTTAACCTTCATTTATTCAGGTTAGTCTCACTGAGTCACGAGGACTCATTTACAACAGAGGCCGGTTTTAGACAGGCAACATGTAAAGTACAGGCAACATGTAAAGTACAGGCAACATGTAAAGTAAGAACAACATGTAAAGTACAGACAACATGTAAAGTAAGAACAACATGTAAAGTACAGGCAACATGTAAAGTACAGACAACATGCAAAGTACAGGCAACATGTAAAGTACAGACAACATGTAAAGTACAGACAACATGTAAAGTACAGACAACATGTAAAGTAAGAACAACATGTAAAGTACAGGCAACATGTAAAGTACAGACAACATGCAAAGTACAGGCAACATGTAAAGTACAGACAACATGTAAAGTACAGACAACATGTAAAGTAAGAACAACATGCAAAGTACAGGCAACATGTAAAGTACAGACAACATGTAAAGTACAGACAACATATAAAGTACAGACAACATGTAAAGTACAGACAACATGTAAAGTACAGGCAACATGTAAAGTACAGGCAACATGTAAAGTACAGGCAACATGTAAAGTACAGGCAACATATAAAGTA